CCTTCCTTCCTTCCTTCCTTCCTTCCTTCCTCTTATCCATCATCAGCTCCTTCCTTCCTTCCTTCCACCAACCCAGCATAATACAACATTAACTGTCAGGCGCAAAAATCCTGCTGCAGTCAAGATACTAGGACCCCGGTCAGTTCAGGCTTGCATCACTTTGCAGCCCTGCCTTTCTATCTGACTCTAAGGCCCACCCTGAGATTGAAAATGTTCTTTTCTTGGACTACATCTCCCAGAATCCCCCTCAGCTTTCCTTAACTGATACTTAAATGTTAAGATAGTTTTTAATGTTTACTTGCTTTTCATTGTTCAGTTAGTTACTGTATAGTTCTATTGTTGTTGGTGTGTTGTTGTTTTTTTAATGTTTAACTTGCTATGTTTTTAATTCTATTCTTTTTAATATTGTGAGCTGTTTTGAGTCCCTTTATCGGGAGAAAGGCAGTCTATAAAGAAAACAAACGAATAAATGAGTGTCTAGTGGTGGTGGTGGTTGGGGTCATCCTGGTTGGGGTGAGGTGGGGGCAGAGAACGAGCCTTGTCATGACCCATTTCCCCCCCTCCCCTCCCCTCCCCTCCTTACAGTCTCCAGTCTGCCTCAGCAGCGGCAAGAGCAGCAGCACCAGAACGCCATGATGCACCCTGCTTCGGCCGCGGGGGCTCCCATCGTGGCCACACCGCCGGCTTACTCAGCACAATACGTCGCCTACAGCCCTCAGCAGTTCCCCAACCAGCCTCTCGTCCAGCACGTGCCACATTACCAGTCTCAGGTAGTTCGCTCTCAGGGCCTTTCCGGCCTTCCCGTCCCGCCCTCGGCGCTAAGAGGTCAAACGCCTGTCCTGCCACCCTGTAGGAGATGCGGTACTAAAATGGACGGTGCATTTCTCTTTAGCCCTTCGCGCTCCCGGCTGGAGAGCCAGCGCAACGTTGAGCCATCGGGTCCATAGCTCTTGTGGACGGCGACATCCGGCCTAGCCAGTGGGATTCTGGGGGGACGTCATCCAGAAAGCAGTTTTTTTTCCCTCATGGGTTTTAAAACTTCCCCTGGGTGTCTGCAGACCAGCCCACTCTCTCCTGGCTGAGCTTATGACTTTGCATAGCTGTCATGGTAACACAGAGCAGGAGGAGAGTTTGGGATTATTAAAGTCAACCTTGAATCAGGGAGCACGTGAAATGCTGCTGGTGGGCTTTCTCCCCTCTGCCGTCTCCTGCCTGTAGCGACACAGGTGTTGCCTTTGCTACCGCAGGCTTGAACGAGTCTCGGGGCTCCCAGATGATGAGCGGGTGGCTTAACCGGACCAGGCGGGGGTGGTGCTGCTGCTGCGATTAGTACCCAGAAGTGTATTTCACCCGGGAACTTTTAAACTCGGTAGATCTGCAGAGGCAAGAGGGTTGTGCGCCACAGCCAGAGAGCGACTCAGAAAATCTGTCAAGAGGGAGGCTGTGGCAGTTCAGATATTTTCCAGATGTGTTTCTCGTCTTGAATGGCTCCTGTGCAATTCACACCTGTATCCGTTTGGTATTGCCTTCATGGTCCTAGAGTATTCTGGGATAGGTAGCTAGAGAAGCTCGGGTGGGTGTCCTCGGCTGAGCTACAGCCCCTCCCAGGTTTCCATAAGATACAGCCGAAGCATTTATAAGTGGTGCCCCAAGCCTTGAGGAAGCCTTTCTAGCCGCCTTCTGGCAGGGCGGGCGCTCCTGACCGTACGCTTTAGGAATGAAAAGAAAGCTGTTTGGTTCCTGCAGAAATACCTGCGGGGACGCCTTTCCTTGCTCGTCGTTCCTCATCTCTCTCTCTCCCTCATTTCCCATCCAGCACCCCCACGTTTATAGCCCTGTCATACAGGGCAACGCGAGGATGATGGCGCCACCGGCACACCCGCAGCCTGGCTTAGTTTCCTCCACCGCTACGCAATACGGTGCGCACGAGCAGACACACACGATGTATGGTAGGACACTTTCGGGTTCTGTTTTGAAACTTCTGTGCCGTTCTTTCCCTTTTTCACAAGGAGACGTTCACTGAGGAGATGCAGGAAGAACTGTTCGTGATTGAGTTTATTTTAAAGTTTGTTAAAAGCAACCCTCAGTTATTCCTCTTAGCGGCTAGAGATTTGGAGAGCCGAGGATGACGGTAAATGATAAGGGCCTAGGGCGTCCCATTGATGCTTCTCTTTCTCTTTGGTATTAACTCTACAGCATAATGCGGGTTTTCATCCTTTTTTCAGAAGTCAGGTTTGTCACTAGGGCCGGTTCACCCGTGTAGGGCTGCAGGTGGAAACTCATCAACATAAGTAGCTGGTCCTCACCAAGATGATCCTTGTAGCTTTCGGGGTTTTTTGCCACAGTCCCGTTCAGTAGAGGCAAGCCATTTATCTCTCCACCAGAGTCTCCCCTAATATATTTTCCAGTATTCCTAAACCCTCAATCTCCTTAAATGTGTGCCAACGACTTGTGTGAATTCGCAGATGACCACACAAAGAACCAGAGTCGCAGGGAAGTCACCTCTCTTTTTCTGAACCCGCGGGCACCAACCCGGGCCTCTCTCGCCAAAGAAGGGTGTCCGTCTGAGTGCTGGGCTGGGAAGTCCTCCGCTAAAATCCCACCTCGAACATGAATTTATGGGCGATCCTCGAGTCACTCTCCTCAAAGGCTCCTAACTTCTCCTCCCTCAGTCTGAAATCTGAGGATCAGAATAGGTGGCGGAAATTATAGAGAAAATGTATATAAAAACGGGCATGTTAAAACTCACAATAAATACTAAATAGAAGCTGTTACTGTTGCCATCCTCTGTTTCGGAAGAGGGAAAAATTGTGTTCTGGGCACTCCCGTCATAATTTGCACAGCATCTGTTGTTCCGCAGAGGGAGATGGATATGGATTCATTCTAGAACTGTGTTAAAGTGGCAGCAACGACCAACTTGTACTTCGGGGGGGGGGACACACACCCTAGAAAGGCTTGTCTTAAAATATAAGCTCAGGTGAGCCTCATTCATGAGCTGGAGACCATTTCTGCTTTGTATTTACCAGCGTTTTTCTGTGTCTGATTTTTTTCCCTCTCTCTCTCTCTCTCTCTCTCTCTCTCTCTCTCTCTTTTCTGTCTAAGCAACTGTCTCTGTTGAAAATGAGCATGCAGTTTTTGGAGGAAAGGGGCTATGTGAATCAGAGAAATCCAGTTTTCTGGGATTGTCAGCCAAAGAAATTTATGTGTCTTTGTTGCCAAGCGGTCCAATCACCTTTGTTTCCCTGTTCTTAACGTTGTGGCTGTTAAATGGAATGTGTAATGCCTTTATTAATGAACACTTTAATGCTGATGCAGAACACCTGTGTTCAGTTGAAGACTTTTTTAAACTGTCTTTTTCTTTTTCCTAACTGCAAATTGGTTTGTTCATGAAAACGATTGCTGTCGATTAACCTTTCCAGAAGACTGGAAGTGGTTGCTTTCCTCTTGTGGCATGTGGCTAATTTCCCTTTCTATTTCCCAAATTCAGCATGTCCCAAAATACCCTACAGCAAGGAGACAGGCCCTTCTTTCTACTTTGCCAGTGAGTTTTGGGTATTTTTGTACGTACTAACTTTTGATTTTGTTCCATGAACCACTTTGCAAAGAATTTGTCAGAGGAATGATGGAATAGGCTTGGATGGACCCACGGCCTCTGCTTTTGCGCCAGGCTTGCCCCAAAGCAAGAGGAAGTTTTCCCCTTCAAGTCACACACAACACACAAAGACACACACACACACCCCACACACACAGGGGGAGCTTCGGTAAAGAGGGCAGAGGAAGAGCGAGGTCAGGGATATTGGCTCCTTTGGGGAAGAGGGTGCCGCTAAGAGGACCGCCCGTCCTGTGCCAGCATTGGATGAAAACGCACAATGCCAGCCCAGTTGTGTGTGTTTGTGTGTGTATTTGTTGCGTTTTCCTCTGGAGAAGACAGCCAGCTGGCTTGAATGGTAGGAGTGCGGGAGAAAAAAAAAACATGAAAGCGCTGTCCAAGGTGAATGAAACCCAGCAGGCGGTGTTGCTTGGATGCTGCCGTGTGGTTGTGGACTCGCCTGGATCTTCTGCTGCTTCCGGAGCGGTCTGTCCGTTTTTAATGTGCGGGAGAGCTCAGGAAGATCCAGTGTGACCGAGTGGGTTTCTGCAGGGGCCTTGCCCTCCTGGGACAGGCAGAGCAAGGAAGGAGAGGCTCTGGGGGCTGCCCATCACATAGAGGAGCCCCGGGTGGGGGTGAGGATTTGGGGGGACGGCGTCAGGGAGACAGGGTACGAAGCTGCCCTCGGAGCCGGTGGCTGCCCCCTTTCCCAGTTGGTGAGAGAAGAGGCGCACCATCGGCCTGGCTGGGTTTGGTGCACTGAAGGTCATTCCCCCAGCCGATTTTGCCTTTCCGTTGCTCCGGCTTTGTAAACCAGCCCGCACTGTGCACCCTCGTAACACGTACTGACGTTGCTCTCAGCGCGCCGATCCCGAGCCAGTGCTTTGCTTTTCTACTCGTTATAAGGCAGGACGTCTGTCCCCATCTGACCAGTTACGTGCACTAATACCGACTGTGCTTAACTTCAGCCCGTTTCCACTAAGTCCGTTTGAAGCACCTGCGTTGTCCACAAGCCGAATCCCAAGTGGCTGTTTGGTTTGGTGGGCTGTCCTTCCTTTTTTTAAATTTTTTTTTCCTTACACTTTATTTTGATTTATAGTTTTCCTTGGGGGTTGTTAAAGTGGCAACTCATACCTTCTGCATTTTCTGCTGCCCTTTCCGAAAATCTGTTTGTTTGTTTTTTTGCTTTTTGCTTTTTTTTCGTCTGCTTGTTTGCTCCTTCCTCTTGTTTGAGATGTTCACATCAAAGTCCACAGCAGAGAACTCAAGTGCCTGTTCGCCTGCTGTTACTTGAGTTTTGTTTTGTGTTCCCATTTGTGCGATGGGATGGGGCGGGGGAGCGCTTTGAGTTGGGGAGGTGGCAGAGAACACACACACCCCTCGCTTTTCCTTGTTTTGTCTGGCTTTGCTTTTCGAGGAGCGCAGAGAAGTCGGCCAGTCATGCAGAGATTGGGCATCTAAGGGGCAAGCTCCGAGTTTGGAACATTCACCTATTTTTGGACCACGATTCAAAAACCTGTCATTGGTAGAAGGTGTCAGGATTCTTGGAGTTGTAATTTGGAAAAGTGTGACCATCCCACAGTAGCCAGCACCTTTGGGAATGTCCTGTTTTAAGCTCTCTTTTGCCTCTCTTGATTCAGAAAGGCTTATCAGATTACAAGCTGGGCCCCCTAAATGCTGCCCCTTGGATGAGGAGATAAAGCACAGTCAGGCCCAGTTCTGTCACTAGAAGCAAATGCGGGCATCCCTTTTTAATTTGGCCGTTTCCAGCCCTTGCATAAGATGGGGGGGGCGGAAGACAGTGGAGCTTGGAGTGAAGGACACGTGTCCTCAGCAGCCTCAAGGACCAGTAGTCCCCCTTGGGGGGGGCGGCCACGGAAGGTGAGCGTTGGCTCCACGTGCGGCCCAGATGATGCCACTTTTCCCCACCCAGCCCTGCAGGCTTTGAAGAAAGAGATACTACGCCTCATATCCTGTATTGATAAAAGGAAAGTGGAATTTCGAGTGGGCAAGGAATTGGTGCGAGTGCTCCCCCAACTGACACGTGGTTTTGAGGTTTGTTTGTTTTTTTCATTAAGTTAATGAGACTCTTAGATCTCAGGCCATGAAAGACGATTCCCTATAGAAGGCGGACTTAGGTGCTTTTTCTGGACTGGGTCTCCGTTCTTTATTACTGATGGCTTTCTCTCTCTCCTTTCCTTCCAAGTTTCTACCGGTTCTCTCGCTCAGCAGTACGCCCACCCCAGCGCTGCCTTGCATCCTCACCCGCCGCACCCCCAGCCTTCTGCCACCCCCACGGGGGGGCAACAGCAGAGCCAACATGGAGGAAGCCACCCGGCCCCCAGCCCTGTGCAGGTAAGGAGGAGGATGAGAAGGAGCAGCGAGGCTTGTCCCGAAGAGGGGAGAGTTCCGGGTTCACCCCTGGCTCTAGGCGGCCGACAGCTTTCCGAATCTTTTATCCCCTCGCTCTGCCACGTACTGTCCAATGTTGTACACCAACGAAGTTATGCATGAAACGTCTTTTTGGTGCTGAAGCGATAAAGGAAGTTGAGGTTTGAGACAAACATGCTAATTGCATAAAGGAGGGGGGGAAGCAGACCCCAAACCACACACCCCATGGCTTCTACCCAGCAGGGGAAAAGAAGCATGCCGCCTAGAGTGGTCGAAATGACCAGATAGGCGGGGTATAAATACAATCAATCAATCAATCAATCAATCAGTGTGAGGCCAGGGCAGATCAGAAGCGGTCCAGGGGCAGACCTAATTTGGGGTCTACGAGCTCTTTGTATAGCTAGCTCCCTGCATGGCTTGGAAGTCTTCCAGTTTCCCTTTTCCCCCCTTTCCTTCCGCAGCACCATCAGCATCAGGCCCTCCACTTGACGAACGCTCAGCAGCAGTCGGCCATCTTCCACGCCGGCCTGGCCCCGACTCCTCCTTCCATGAACCCCGGCTCCAACGCCCAGTCTCCCCAGAGCAGCTTCCCAACAGCACAACAGACGGTCTTCGCCATCCATCCTTCCCACGTCCAGCCGGCCTACACCAACCCGCCACACATGGCCCACGTCCCCCAGGTAACGGGCTGCCCACAGCAGCTTGATCTTGATCTGTGCCTCAAATCATTCTCGGTAGGAGGCACCTCAAATCATACCGGGAGCTACTGTAGTTGTTGTCCCCATCTTTATGTCTCTGGCTTGTGCCAGAAAGTAAAAAATCTTAAGTTACTCTCCACGAGGCAGCTTATGGCACAGTGGTTAAGCTGCAGTATTGCAGTGAAGACTCTGCTCACAATGTGAGTCCGATCCCGATAGGCTCAGCCTGCCTGCCTTCTTTCCTTCCTGGGTAAATTGAGTCCCCAGCTCGCTGGAGGTGAGGGGGGGGGCAATTTGCAGCCTGCACCATTAAATTGCAAACCGCCCAGAGAGTGCTTGAAGCACATGCAGACCCGCACCTGATGCACAGCTTTCCCAAATGAGGGCCCTTCTTGTGCCGTCTTTATAGTGTTCAACCTGGCCGGGGAGGAACCTCCAAAGCTTTTGCGCTTATCAGAACGGTCGGGTCAGGGCCCATGCCCCCCCTTCAGCCGGGGATCCCTCCGTGGGGCCGTGCTGCCAAAGAGCTTTTTCTTTCAGGCCCACGTGCAGTCGGGCATGGCTCCTTCGCATCCAACGGCCCACGCCCCCATGATGCTCATGACGACCCAGCCGCCGCCCGGGGGGGCCCAAGCTGCCCTCGCTGCGCAAACCGCACTACCGCACATTCCAGTCTCGACAGCAACACACTTCCCCTATATGACCCATCCTTCAGGTGAGAGGGGAGGGGGCCTGCCCTCAGGGCCACGGAAAGGCCGGCGGGAGGGAGGGAGTGAGGGGGCCGAAGCAGGCCGTGGGGTGGAGGACGGGCAGGGCAGGGGGTTCACGTGTCTCAAGATCTGGCGCGCGTGCGGGAGTGTGGGGGGAGCATTTCCACAGGGGTTGCATCCGGGTCCTGGGAGGTGTTAAAAGGGAGTCCGAAGGACTGCTCTGAAAATGCTGTCCTCCTCCTGGTTGCAATTAAACGGTGAGGGGAGGAAGCCTGGAGAGCACAGGGCCTGGATCTGCAGAGTGCAATTCTTTGGGTTGCTCTGGAAGTGTGGCTCCCCCCCCATCTAGCCGGGGGGGGGCTCACGTGCTTGCAAAAACGGCCGCCTGGCCTGGCGGACCGACAGTTGTGTTGCTTTCCATCCGTCCCCCCAAGAATGCTTGCCGGAAGAAGAGCAAGAGCAAGGCACAGCGGGCGGGCGCGGTGGGTGGGTGGGTGCGCGTTCGTTCGGGCAGCTCAGAGGAGCCCAGGCGGGCCCTCCCCGGTTCTAGCCAAGCCGTTTTTCTCAAGAGCCTTCCGGAGTTTCAGAGTGTTTTTCTTTCTCACATTTCCACTTCCTCTCTTCCTCTCTCTCTGTTTCTCTTTCCAGTACAAACCCACCATCAACAGCAGTTGTAAGGCTGACCTGGAGTGACCCTCAGGCGGGATCTTTTTTGTTTTTTTTTCCTTTTTAAAGGCAAAATACCTACCTTTTCCTGCTGCTTCTGCCATCTTCGGAAGCACAGAAACAAAATCAAAACAAAACAAAAATAACCCAAAACAAAATCTAGTACTTCACTTATTTTTGGTTTTTAAGGGGAAACAAATTATGTAACACCAACAAGGAATGCTAACCATTCACACTTTGCAGTGGGATAAATTTGGACTGAGACTAAAGGCATGTTAGAACCTTTTGTGGGACAATTCCATAAATTCCATGTTTTGTGGCAAAAATAATAATAATATCAAATACTGACCCTGTTCCCCAGTTCCGCTGGCAGAAAAATTAAAAAAAAAAACTGGAAAAGCTATTTATTTTTAAAACAGCCCTTCAAAGTTATGAATTCATCAGCTAGAGAAAGAAGTGACAAGAGTGATTCTTGCTGCTATTCTCACTAAAAAAAAATAAATACATAAAAATTTAAAAATCAAGACTTTAAAAAAAAATCCCTTTTCCTTCTAACTAAACTTGAAAGAGGTTTGAAAAAAAAAACAAATTCTAATTGTCAAACAGATATGGATTTATTATTTATAAAATCATGTTTGATGAGGGGGAAAGCCGCTGTCACAAGACAGCGGCTGTAACTTTTAAGTTAAGAGGAAACTTTTACTTTGTAGATAATATAAAATAAAAACTTTAAAAAAAAAATAAAAACGTTTTAAAAACTGAAATTTCTTCCTGGTGTGTATGCGTTTGTTCCCATCTTTCCCCCCTTCCCCCCCCCCACATTTAAATCAGGTTTTAGAAGGCCAGGGGGTGTATAAAGGAAGGAAGAACCCTTTAAGGCTAAATCCAATTTTAATGCCAACTAGAGCAAGACCCATGGAAGTTAATAGAACCGAAGTCCGTTAGGATGCAAGAAGTCCCTTTCATCTTACTGGGTCTGTTCTAAAATCTAATTTTACTCATGGGACACGTCGGGGAAGAGAGTGTAAAAACCTTCAGTGTGACATGTGAATCTGCCAACTGATTCAGGCAGACAGCAGGGGGCTTAAAACCTCCGAGGAGAAACAAAATCTTCCCCATTTTCCCTGTTATAAAACTGGCTGCGGTTTTCTTTCATCTTTAAAGCCCCTTCCGGGGTGTTTTTTGTTAAGATCAAGGAGCAGGATCTGATGAAGGAGCAGGACAGGAAAGCGAGAACAGAACTGGCCGTTGAGGACGTCTCAGTGGGTTTCCTTTACTGCTACGAGGAGCAGATCTGCACATAAACACCTCAGCAATATTCGAGAATAAGTTACAGGTACAGTACGTACAGAAGCAGTATATAGGGAGTTTCTTCTCTACGAGAGTAGGAAAGGCAAGGCAGGGAAAGGACGCTCAAGGTGGGCTGTTTTTCCCCCTTCCAAATCTTAATTTGCTTTGTGTTTTTTAAAGTAGCCAAGTGACCGACCGCCTTCCTTCGCGGTGGGCTAGCAGGGGTCAAGCCGTTAGCTTTCAAGGCTTTGACGCTCCAGCGCCAGCGGCTCGGGCTTCCGCAGCGGTCGCTGGCAACTTGCAAAGAGGCAGCTGAGGGCCGGGTCAGCATCCTGGGCGCGTCCAGCTGTGCGGCCGCGCCACTCCCCCTGGCACCTGGAGCAACGTTGCGAAGGACAACTCTGGCCCAAGCGCGCGAGAGAGGCCCGCGGGACGCAGGTAACGTCCTTTTTGAACTGCGCATTGAATTCGGCTCCTGGGGAAGCCCATCGAGAAATGCTGTAAAGCCTGGGGAAGTGAGCTTTTTGGACTGCAACACCCAGAATCCCCAAGCCAGAGCAACGGGGCAAGGGGGTGGGGGCTTCTGGGAGCTGACAGCCCTCGAACGTTCTCCAACCTTGAGCCCGTGTCCTTTCGGCGTAGAGGCTTTGCAGTCCAAGCATTGCCTCTGATGGCGTGTGAATCTCAGGCAGCTGGGCTTTGGGGGTGTCGCTCTTGAGGGCGAGGTGGGTTTCCCTCTGTTGTGGCACAGGAAATGCGTCTTCGAAAGGGGGGAGGAGGGCGGCTAACGGCGGCAGTGGCTGTATTGTCCCAGTTTACCGGTTCGGAGCCCGCC